CATCCCAAGCAGTCAGTCTGTGGACAAACATGTTATTGTACTGGTTTCTAAATGTCTCTTGTAACTGAAATGATTTGAACCACTTTTAAACTCATGGTTGTCATAGTGATGTAGTTACTTAAAGACCATTTCATAAAGTGCCCTCGGTCTATGCAGAAGCACGGTTTATGTAACAGCAGCGTTTTAATAGAGAATCTTCTGAGTCGACAAGCAGCAAAATGACCAGTGATGTGTTGTGCAGCCTGCATGCTCCATCAGTCTAAATAACTCCTCTGCTTGTTGAAATAAGTGCACACTACCTATAATGACAGACATCCATCATTTCTATGACTGGTTGGCTGGTACACCGTGCGCCCGCTGCCTCTGTGTGGCAAACCAATCCTTCAACCTCTGACTAAAAGGATTCGTGCCCCATTTTTGCGACTCAGACAAGGTTACTTATCAAGCTTTGTTCCGACCAGCGTAATCTCATTGCAAGTCAGAATTAGGTGATGTAACTCGCAACAAATGCATTACAGCATCTTTCATAACATGCCGTTCTCTGAGGCAAGTGGGTTTCACGTAGCAGTAATGGACGCCCCTTTCCTCCCCTCCCCTTACTCCTCATAACCTCAGCAGTGCAAATACATCGCTGTACCCTTTTATGCATCCCACATTATCAGAGTTGCATTGGGTTCATTGTCTTTGCTTATTGGTGTTTTTCCATGTGTCTGTCCAGCCAGATTTTTTTCAGTCACCCCTAATGACCCCGAATTTCTAAAGCGCATTGGAGCCAAAGAACTGAAATTGTACCAACCGAGGGAAAATAAGTGTCAGTGCAGAAAAAATGCTGCCTGCGATGTGAGGAAAAAGCAAGCATAATGTTTGCTAGAATGAAGATAAATGTATGTAGCTGTTGCAGTGTATAAAAATGTCTCGGTTTCCTGTGCTTAGAGACAAAGCACATGAGATTTAATTTTATGACAACAGTGAAATTACTATTTTATGCGTTTTATGCTTTTGGTTATTTGGGAAAAATACTGAAAAACTCTCTCACAAGTTTGTGTTATTACAAACCTGCTTTTTTAAACATTTAGCAGCAATACAGCTTCTTTAATGATATTCACTTTGATGCGATGCGCTGTTGGTGGGGCTAAGCTAAAACAAAACAAAAGAAAAAATCAGTTGTCACACATGCACATTTCAGGAGAATCAGAGCAAACTATTTTCCACAGTTGTCCTTGCTCACATGTGACAGACAGCAGGAAATGGTCGGCTTCAGACACCTTCGCGCTACTGGAAATACTCTGTGTGATTTAGGCGGGAGAGCTGCTTGGATAGAGCGTGCAGGAGGCAGCGCATATGATGCTGTGATGTTCGCACATTGGTGTTATCGGACACAGAGCATTTTAAAGACCGGCTTGTGAATCTCTGAAAATAAATCTCTCAAACCTACACTGCAAGGGTAAAATGTGTTTGATGTTTATTTTCCAAAGTCAGGATTTTTGTTAATATCACTGTGGGTTTGTGCGGATCAATAACAGTGAGAAGGAGAACTCATCTACTTATGATTAAAGTAGAATTGCTTCAACATTCACACATTTATAGTAAATTAACATTAGAATAATGTCTCTAAGCACTCCAGTAGCCTCATAGTAATCCTATGAGGAGAATGAGGAAATACCTTTGGATATAACATTTGTTTATTCTGATGATCTTAAATATGTAACAAGAGAGTTTGACTGGCAGTTAAATACACTGTAAACATGGACTGTCTTCCTCCCAATGAAGAGCTTTCATTTTTAAATAATATTGTACTTTTAATTAGCTTTAGGTGAGCATTTAGTCTTTCAGAGTTTTTCCCTTCAAAATATCACATAAGTGCCATTGAGAAGTAATGAAACTAACACTTAAACATTAACTGGAAATGCAGAATTGAAACCAATTATGGTCCTTCAGTGAGTGAAATGAGCATCGATTGCAGTAGGACTTTTTAATGATACTTGATTTAATGATTTCATTTTTCATGCATCATTTTAGATTAGTGCTACTCAGATTAACTGTTTGATGTGAGGTAATATTTAGCGTTATTTATGTGACTGTGGTGTGTTTTCCTATTATCCCAGGTGCTCTGTTAGGGGGAGACTTGGGGAACTCTAATGGAGCGTGCCCGAGTCCAGTCCGTAAGTAAATGTTTTCTTTTATCTTTTTACCTTTCTTCCCAGTTTTGGTACAAAGATGTGCGCGCACACACACACGCACACACACACGCGCGCACACACACACACACACACACACACACACCTCTTTGCTTTCTGTATTTTGGCTGGACTCTTTAAAGAGACATGGTTTCTGAAACTGACGTAGAGACAGAGCAATGCAGAATATTTTGTGTGGCAGCAGGCTCACACAACTCGGACGCCAACTCAAACAGCCACACACACACGCACACACACGAACTCACAAATGCAAGCACAAGCATGAAACACCTGTTGACTGGCGACAGCTGAGGGTCACAGTACAAGCTGCTTGTCAACAGTCCAAAGAACAGAATGGGTTTCAGGTTGTGAGGGAGAAAGGCAAGCAGAGACTTTAAAAAGAGGAAAAGAAACTGTCGATGTTACAGAATAACTTCTGTGAAGCTTCTCAGCTGTTTTTTAAATTCAAATCTTCGGCAATATTAGAAAGCCAGTCTGGGGTCTGAATCTCAAAGTGAGTTCGAAATTTAATTTTTAGTGCCAGTTTAATGAATTATGAAAATTGAGCCGAGTACTGATAAATGTATTTGAAGCAAACTGTAAGTTCAGGTTTACTCAGATTCATGATTTCTATGGCAGCTTAAATTGTGGTGCAACTCAAGGTATTGAATACAAAAGATTGAATCCACTACTGAATATGTTGTCATTATTATTATTATTATTATTATTATTATGACAGTCATTAACTTTTAATTGGGAGCTTTGATATTTAAAAAAAAAAAAAAAGAAATGTAAAACACCCGATAGCATGTTAAAATACTCAAATTATGATACTGTTAATGAGTTTTTAATTGAATTAAATTTTTCCACTATTTTTTATGTACTGAATGTGATGCTTTTTCTTGTCGATATTATTTTGCTGTGGGTAAACTGTCCTTTTTTAAAAGGTGGTGTGAGCTATGCTAATCGCACTAAAGTGCCGTGTTGTTTCACTTCATTTATTCAGCCTGACATTGTGCTGATGTCACCTGGTGAGGGTGATAAGGGTCTTATTTCTACTTTATTTTGACCCAAACAATCAATAGTCAGTCTCACTAATTTTGGTTTCATCATCGTGAGTACTGTGGTACATTGAGAAGAGAGTTTAGAGATTTATGTCCCTCTAAACATAACACAAGTGTCATTGAAAATGGGCGAAACTGCCACTTGGATATTGATTGGCAATGCTAAGCAACACCAATTATGGCCACTTAATGCTGCATCCTGATTGGTGGACAGAGGCTGCGTGTATACGGGCATCTTCTGTTTTGTTATTGACCCTTCAGTGCATCAGAGGATCACAGTGAAAGAAATGAACAACAACATATACTGACCAGCTCTCTCTGTCAGCTCCGTTTCCTGTTTAGTATCTAACGTAGACATCATCAGTCACTGTTTCTTTTGTGACGCACTTACACCCACAGACTTCATATGCCAAACTGCATGCCACTTTAAATTGTGCGGGTTAGTCCAGTGAAGTTCAGTAGGAGTCCCTCGGCATCTGGCAAAAATGCTTTGTTGATCTTGTCACTGGCGTGAGACGGTAACCAAGGAAATGAAGCAAATCAAACCAAAACAAAGCTAAAGTTAATCAAATTTAAAAAAAATAAAAACAATGATTGTGCCATGCATCACTTCTCTTTGTTTTTGTTCTTTCTAATATTAGAAATCAACAATAAAAGTATAGCCACTGTTTTAAAATAGTATTTGTCACATACGCACACAAGCAAAGTGTCAGAACGTGATTAGCTGGGAGCTAGAGTGTAATAACTTAAGCACTAGCCAGTTTAACAGTCGTTGTCAATGAAGCGCTTTCCATCCATGCAAAACTAAGACTCTTATCATTTAGGATCATTTCTTGTCGTCTTCTTAATATAAAAGTGGAATCAGACGTCTGCTCAGCATTTGTACTGTATATTAATCCTGACCTACAAAGCTTTGATTGATTGATTGTTTCTCCAACCAAGGGAAACAGACTCCAGTGATCACAAGACCAGATCTGTTTTAATCACTGAACAAATCGTAGGAGTGATTCAATGGTCTGTAATGAGGCAAGCTTAAAAAAATGAACAACCAGTCAAATCTTGTTCTGGAAATCTGAAAAATAGGATTAATGGCGTCCACCCCGCACCTTTCCAACGTCATCTGGCGCTGAAAAGAGCAGCCTGTTTAACTCCCCTCACTTAAACCACTTCCCGTGCTTACCCACCACCCCTCACCCGCAATTCAACCCTCTAGCTGCACTGCTTCCCTCCCCCCCTTTTCATGCTGTCTCTCTCAGCTGTTCCCCCTCATCTTCTCTCTAGAATAATCTACCGCCCCACCCCGCTCACCACCACCTTCAGCACCTCCCCACCCCCCGATCCAACTGTCCCCTGTCTTGGCAAAGGACTCTCCTCAGAGGTGACTTTGACACTAGCCAGAGCTCTCCCCTTAAATCCCATTAGCTGGGAAAGATACTGCCAGCAAACCCATAGTAATAGATATGGTGGAAAGGTGTGGGGCTTTTTTCCTGTCTATATTCACTTGATAAACGCATTGTCTCAGGGTAAGGTGGGCCAAAATGAATCAATGCATTTATATTAACTTCCCTGCACTGTATGAGAGGAATACTCGAAAGCCAAGGCTCAATATTGATATTAGTTTTTCAAAGCTATTAATGAAAGTATGGAGACTTTTCTTTTTTTTACCAAGTGTTGCTAAAAGCAAGTCATCATTCAATAAATAAGCATTTAAAGTCATGTCCTGACTAATAATGCTGTAAATTGGACTTGTTATTGAAGATCAAAGAGCTGTTTTTAACAGTATTTCAGAAATGAGTCATTGTTAACTTTATTAAACTCTTCACACATTGTATTTTTCTTGTAAGAATAAGCCTTTGTTTAGTTGTCAATGGCTGTGCTGAGTTGACCCTCAGAAGGTAGGTGGATATCTGTGTTTCGATTTGGATGAATGTGACCACGAGGACTTCTGTAAACACATCACGACTCCTTCGTGTGTCGAAATATGAAACCTCGTTGTACCAGAACTCATCTAAGGTTACCTGATCCACCCGGATGGCTGCTCCACTCCGTCCTCCCATCTCACTCCTTCATCTCATTAATCACTCTCTGCCTGCTCCTTCTTCTTTTTTTTATTCATCTTTTGTGTCTCCCATTACCATCCTGACAGTGTTACCTATTTTTTTCCCCTCCCTTCTTCCAGGTCTTTTGTTTCCTCTTTCACTTTATGGCTGCTCTCCTCATCCCAGTTTCTCTGTCTTCTTTCTATACCTAGGAGTCTTATTTTTTGCTTACTTTCTTACTTTTTTGTACAACCCACTCTTTTCAAGTTCCTCACTTCTTCAGATTTTTCTCCCATCTTCTTTTCTCTGCTTTACTCCTTTTATCTCTTCTTCTCTCCTCCCTTCTTCCCCTCTTTTTTTTTTTTCCTCTTCCCCTCCCCTCCTCTTGAATCTGTCATTCTCAGCTGTTGTCCAGGGAGTCAGTGCTACGGGAATGTCACCATTGACGTCACCCAGCATTCCACACATTCCCACGCCCAGCCTCGCGTAATAAGAGACATCACACACACACTGACGGTAGTCACACATGTTCACCCGGACACTGACAAGAACACATGTAAAGTATATGGAAAAGTGCATTCGAACAGTCAACGTACACAACTAAAGCCACAGATGTCTCAGAGCGGTTCTGTGACTCATGCTCAGAATAGGACTTATATTCATGTGAGCTTCTGGATGCTCAGTGTAAACAATAAATATAAACACACGAAGTATTAAAATACAGTCACTTCACGACTCGGCACGAAAACACGGGGTCCACAACTCAATAAGCGTATGCTATTTTTAACTGCTTGGAATAAAAAAACAAAAACAAATCTGCAAGTTTGAACTCTTCTGTTAAGTCTAACATTTTTCTTGTAGTTCTTTTTAGGAAAACATAAAAATTATTTAGTTTCTGTTTGTTATTATATTAGAATGTAAAAGAGATACCGAGAGGGCAGAAAACAAGCAAGCATGGAATTAAAACAAAGACCAGAGATAAACACAAAAGAATTTCTTTTCTATTATTCAAAATTCACATTTCTTTGTAAGTAGGGCAGTTTTTTCCTCTAAAAATGTGTATGTTTGTTTTTTGCCTTACCTTGGTTGTAGGTTTTTATCTTTTTTTCATTTTTCCATTTTCATTTGTGCCCTCGATTCAAATGCATTCTGTGGGCAAGGCAGAAATCTCCAGACCTCAGCAGATCAAGACAAATTTATATTTGTTACTAGATACAGCTAGAAAGATGGGATTATACATCCTTTACTACTTCGGTTGATTTTCACAGTTACGTGTAAAACTAAGTTGTTTTGTGTTGCTGGTTATGTTAGAAAATAAGTCAGATTTATTTGTATTGTAGATTTCAGTTTTTTTAAAAGTACATTTTGAAGGTCAGGGCCAATCTCCAAAGCTGAAAAGTGAAGGCAAGAGGACGTGGCAAAAACTGACATTTCTCTTTTGACCGCTTGCGGCTAACTCCAAAAGGAAGTCTGCTATAGACTGCTGTGTTAAATTGCCAGACTTTACAACAATTGAAAGCATGCCTATAGCAAATGCTGCATTGTTTTCCCCCTTTATAACAGCTCTGATTGGGGTGGTTTTTTTTGTAACTCATCCACTTGAATTAATGAGTTATGGTGTGGCCATGTTGTTTCATAGGCTTCCTAATCAGAATCTGCTCCTCTAATTCATTTAATCCACATAAGGTAAATATGGAAGCTTGTTTCCACCACTAAAAATATATATATTTATATCTATAGTGGAAAATTTTGAATTAATAACTCAAAATTTGGAAATGCCTAACTCCAAATTCCAAGAAAATTGAAAAATTTCACTAAGGTATCTCAAAATTTTAAGTTAAAAACTTGAAATCTCGAGTTAGTGCTGCCAATAAGGAAGCTTATCTCCATGTTACCTGGATTTTGATTGTGCGTGTCTGCACCATTTGCTTCCGTGTAACAAGGAAATTACTTCCTTCACTGAGATTCCTGATTGGCTAACACAAATTTTTAAGATGCCTAACTCGAAATTTCAAGTTATTTTCTCAATTTTGTTTTTCCAGTAATTTAAAAAAAAGAATTGAATAGTTAAATTCTGTCGTTCAAAACAAAATGAAAAAAGAAAGCATGGCAGCATTCAAAAAGCTGATGTTGATGTTTCAGAATTCAGAGTTCCAAGGAAATGGGGGACCATGTTTTATACTGTCTTTGTGTTTTATTCCTTGCTGTTACATATTTTTCCACAATTTACCATTTTTCATCCCTTAGTGTCCAAACAAGAATGCGTCTGGAGTCTTGTAAAAATGACTTCAGTAAACACAAAAATGTGTCAGTAATCTGCATCTCCAAATTGCAGCTAAAACCAACACTTGTCTAGTATAGTGTAAGCAGATATCCATGCACATACAGGGCTACACAAGCATCTCAGCACTCCATCTTTATTTTCTCTAAGGGGATTTGGAGTTGGCTTGAGGGCGAGTGAAAAACGCGTCACAAACTCGAGCAGAGGCTCACACTCGTATTCACATTGTTTGTAACTCCTGACTCTGGATCGCCACGACGCCACCACCCTCTCTGTTTACACAGAGCCATGAACACAATGTGAACAGCAACAGATTTCCATCAGAGACATGCACAAGTGCTCGGTGCACATTGTGCAGCATGAAACACACGGAGGATCGCAGAATTTCCCTGAGTCACCTGATGTAATGAGGGTTCACTGTGCGTCAACAGGACACAGGTGTTCTCACTGGTCAGATGATGCTGAAAAACAAACTCTTCTTTTTCCTTTCGCATTACCTCTCTACCTTCTGTCCCTCATTTCCTAAATGCTTTTTTTCCCTTTCCTAGCCTTTCTGTTCATCTCTACTCCTCCCTTATTATCTTCTCCTCCTCTGTTGCTACTTATTTCCACCCCCCGCCTCTGTAACCAGATACCCTTTCATCCCTATGTGCTTCATTCCTTTTTCCTAAGTAGCTTTCTTGCCACTCCTCCTGTATTCCCTTTCTGTTTCAGTCATATCTAATATGTGGTCACTTTATGCCCTCTGCTTCTTGTCTCATTACCTCATTACCTGCTGGCATCTTTTCTTTCCTCCTTCTTCCCCCCTTCTTCTGTCCCTGTTGCTTTCAGTATCTCCATCCTTATCCTGTTTTGTCTTTTCTTTCCAAATGACTTTTCAAGCCCACTTTCTTTCTTCCTTGCTAGCTTCCTTTGTCCTCTTGCCGTGGTCATAGTTTGTCTACTTCCTTGCTTCCCGTCCTACTTCTTCCACCATCCTTTTCTTCTTTTATCATCTCGTATTGCTTCATCTCATTCTTGTCTTTTGACTTACAGTACCTTCTTCTGACATCCTCTACTGTTATCTTCCTGGCTTGTCTCATTCCATCTGTTTCTACCTTGCTGCATTCTGCAACATCTTTTTTTCCTCCCAGCATTCACATGTCCTTCCAGTACCTTCTCTGTCCTGTCTCTCCTTCCCTCCTAATGATTTTTTTCCATATACCTTACTCTTTGGTTGTTCCCTGTCTCCTTTGTTCCTGACCATACTGGTTCATCCTTCTTTTCCCTCCCACAATTCTGAGTAATTTCTTAATTCTCCTTTTTTCTATCATTTCTTGCCTTCCTTCTTCACACTTGAAATTCAGTTTAAAGGCTAATAGTTTCCTTTTTTTTTTTTTTTTGTAATGATCATTTTCTTTTCTTTGAGGGGTTATTAAAGATTTGTTTTGTTTTCCTACTTGGAGGAAATAACAAACTATATGGTAATACTATACAGTGCAATTATTTAAGCTCTGCTTTATCTCTTTTTCTTTCCAGCTTTCTTTCTTTGTCTATATCATGTTTTAGGGCCAAAGAACAAATCTGATACTGCTCTGTCAGGAACTATCCAGACCTGTCAAATCTTCTAGGACAAGAACAGGTCTGCTTAATATCCCCAGAGTCAAAACTAAACATGAAGACTCAGCATTCAGGGTTTTTTTCCTTCATATATTTTCAACAAAGTCTCAGATAAGTTCAAGTCTACGGCAGCTCAATCAAGTCTGAGGATTTTTCTATTTGCCTCTGCCTCTGATTAAATTTAATTTGGGTAAATTTGGTCTTATCATGTACTGCACTATAGCTGTGTTGTAACTTTATTTTCTTTCATAATGTTCATCTAATCCTATTTAGGTTATATTTAATCATATTTTACTCTTTTTAAAATCTATTTGTCCGGGTCTACTTTTCATCTTCATATCTTTCTTTTGTTTTTTGTTTTTTATAAAGCTCTTTGTCTCTTTGTCTCACATGATGTCTAAAGGTGCTTCACATTAAGAAGCTTTGCCTTAACTTCTCAAGCCTCCTTCCCTTTTCCACCATTTATCCCTCTATTACTCCTTCCTTTGCTCCTATTGTGCTTTTCCTCTTTCCTCCCTCTCTGCCCGGTCTCCCTCCCGCTGAGCTGATAACAGAGGTAGTGTTCGCTTCTAGTTGTTGTTGTGAGGTTTCGTTTATGGGAGGTGTGTGTGTGAGACTGAGATGAAGCAGAGTCACATGCCACTGTGTCTGGAGGCAGCGTCATGGAGAACTGCTATCACACATATCCCTTGTCTGTCCAAGGGGAATACTGTGTGTGTGTGTGTGTGTGTGTGTGTGTGTGTGTGTGTGTGTTAGGGCTGGGAAAGTCCCTGCTGTCCCCCTTTTTATATACTCTGTGACTGAGTCTCTGTTTGAGCCTACTTGTCTTTTAGCCTCGAACAGGCTGCTGTCTGCTGGAGCCTTGTTGTTATGACAAGCAGATATCCTCCATCTTCCACATCACCACCAAATCCATTGTTCGTTTTAACTTTTTTAAACTTGATTGAACATGAATAGGCAACAAAGGTAAACACAGTAGACAAAAAACCCCAACGACACCCATCTTAAATACACTACACAACCTACTAATAGAAAAGAACGTAAATATGGGAGAGGAAGCAGCATTGTATCGTGCAGTGTTTTTCTGTGACAGAAGCACGTCACGAATCAGGCTTTGTTTCTTAGAGTAACTGTTGTGTGGCAGTGTTCAGGTTTGGAATGTGGCAGTTGTGCCATTTCAAAGGAGGGTGCGTTCAACAGGTGTAGCATGCTGTAATGTGGCCAGACATGTTACTGGAATGCCCTGATCGACGTTAAAGATCAAAAGAACAAGGGGGAGAGAACTTATACACTGCAAACCAGAAGTTATTTTATCTTTGAATACTGTCAACAAGCCTCATGAAAAGACTAAAACCAGTTCATTTTACCTTAAACGTAATTAAATGTATTGTGCATATTTAAGACCTTGTAAAGCTCCACTGTTGAAATTATTAAAAACTTATCAGTGAGCTACTCATCTGGACTAGATGGCCTTAAAAAATTATCTTTGACTTTTCATACATTTCTCATTAACTAAAACACAAAACAAACATTACCAGACTTCCATGTGAGATCAGAACAGGTTTAATTTCTTAATATGAACTCTTTTAAGCATCTTGTGTATTGGATAATTCTTCATTTTTTGGCAAATTGACATCTGTTCATTTTAATAAATGATTTGGAAGGAAAGCCTTAAGAGATGAAGTTAAATATTATATATAAAGTCCCTTAGATCAATTTACACATAGTTAGGTCTGTAAATATTTTTGCAATGATTATTTTTTCCAATTTTGGTGAATGAGATGCAAAAAAGATGTTTTTTAAAAAGCTACTGCATGAATTGTAAGGACATTAAATGCATTTGTATACATTGCCTTGTCCCTTCATCTGATTTTCAGAGTATTCACTGTGGTGGTGTACAGAAGAAAAATGACAAAAACTGTTATTTTCCAAAACCTTATGGACCTTAGTTTATATAAAAGAAACATTTTTATTTTGTTTTTCTCAAAAAACAGTTTATAATATCATGTATTGCTACAAGTAATAATTTACATGTGTGTAAATACAATATAATGGTTTTACACATGTACATTAAATGCAGTCACAGTATTGAAAGTACAGTGTAATCGTTAAACTGCATGGAAGATTTTTGACTGTGTCATAGAGACCAATTTAGCAATAATTCAGTGGCAATGAAAGCTACGTTTCTAAGGAAGTGGGGGTTTTTCACAGTGTTTCACAGATGGCAGGTGTCCAGAAAGATTTGCATGTTTTTCTTTTAACCAAGTGCCAAGACACGTAAAAGTAAAAGAGGAAATGTGTAGAGAGTGAGTGTGAGCATGGAAATAAAGAAATAACATAGATCTGGAGAGATCATGACATGGTTTTGATGTGAAGAAGCTGCAGAGAATCATCTTGCAAAGAAAAAAAGCTGTTTGAGGTACAGAAACAATGATGAGCATGTGGTGCGACAGAGCGATCAACTCACTAATGAGAGCTCTCTCACACACGCATGCAGAGCTGAATATACACATCCAGGCAGACAAGGTAGAAACATAAAAAGCATCAAAACAGACAAACACACAACCTCCTTCTACACTTGCTCTGCACTGAACCTCACTTTCTTTATTTGTTTCTCTCCAGCTAATGGCTACATCAGTGCCAGGGCCTCCCCAGGCCTCCTCTCTGTATCCAATGGCAACAGCCTGGGGAAAGTAGTCCCGGCTAAGTCTCCACCTCCACCCAGCCCTCAGATGGTCAACAGCCGTAAGCCGGACCTGAGGGTCATCACCTCACAGAGTGGCAAGAGCCTCATGCAGCTGGTAAGGAGATCATGAGTGGAAGCAGCACTTCAGTTCAGAATTAGTCAAAATTATGCGATGAAGGCTTCAGGTGTTTTAATCTCTCAAGTGTAATATAGCCAGTCTCTCAATGATGAGTATCAGTAATCTTTCCTTTCTTTTTGTTACGGTGCCTTTTGATGAAGCCTATAATATATACAATAGGGGCCTCGTGGGTGAACCATTCATATTTTCTATCCTATTCAGTTTGCATTGATAGTCCAAACCTCCACAATGTTGAATGAGCAACTTGATGAATCTAGATTTTAAATGTATTACAAAAATGACATAAATGCTACAGTGGGAGATTTTTGTCAGGATCTTTGTGCAAGTCACTGTCCAGGAGGACCTCCTGTCTGCCCCCAGCAGTATGTGTCATATCATGAAAACATATTTCCATGACTGCTACTTCTCTTTAGCCACTTCCAGTTTGAGTCATGCAATGAAACTGCCAAACCATTTCATCTTTATTTCTGCTGCTGCACAACTTTGCGGGGACTCGCCATTGGCAGCTGAAGTAATAATTGTTTGGGTCACTTAAAAACGACAACTGACACAACCCAACTTTGAACATTTCTGAGTTCTGACAGCAGGAATTAGGAGTGTTTAAAACACTTTACCCTTAGATTCCTTTGTTCTAAATCTAACTATAAAGATGAGGAGTTACTTTATATGAAAACTCTGGTTATTAATTATTCCAGCGATGCGAACAACCTGTCCACATTCATCAGGCTGAAGAAAATAGTCTACAAGAAGATTGTGCAGGTGATGGACTCTGCAGTAGTCTGGAATAACTGAGAGGCTTAGAAGATGAAAATAAAAATGTTTCACGTGGTTCTCACATGTCACATGTGTGACATGTTCACAGATTCCTTTTTTGCTGTGGCCACTGTGCCTTTTAATGGCCAGAAAGTGAAATAATTTATGTAATTTAAAATATAATAATGTCTGCTCTCCTTCTCTAAATATGGTTCTAACTTTCTCACTATTACATAATTTCTATTACTATAGCCAGAAATCTGTAAACACAATAAAGCAACAATGTCCATCCATACATGGTGTACAGTCTCTAACAAGGCAGACAGACAGATCCACAGCTGACTTCTGGATCCAGTCTTTCTCCTTCACTTTTCAGTATCGTATTACCATGATATGCATCTCTATAATTATTCTCAAAGTAACCATAATATGTTCATATCTCTACACCAGTTAGATTTTATAGAAACTTAACAGCCCTTTGTTTTTTACTCTCCCCTCTTCCACCGGCCGTGCAGACTGAGGAAGAGCTGGAGTTGGTGAGTGAGGTGAATAGACTTTTAGAGTTTTAGGCTCATGGATGTGGTGTGTGATCTCACCGAGCATGAGTGTGACACGGTCAGCAAACGCATCACTTCAGGGTTGAATCAGTGGTACTGGTGTTATGAGAAGAGTAGGCGTAAAGCCACTGGAGCATCAGAGCTACACACAGACGGTGGAGAAATCATCTGTTTGCTTCTTTTCCTGGATGAGTTTGACTGTAAGGGTTATGCTTCACTACAAGCTTCACCACAAGATTTGTAAATGCCAACAGAGTTTATGGCTTGATTAAAGTCATGAAAAGACTTGAACTTGTGATGTTTCAATCCTACAAGACTTGACTTGAACTTCAAGTTTGTCAGGGAAAGTCTCGGAACAATACACAATACAAGAAAGGCAGGCTCTGCATAACCACATACCTTGCATGCTTAATTCATTAGGACTGAAAGGACTTTAATATTCCATTTATTTGACAGACATCATTTTCTTAAACTGAGAACTAAATGCATATTGATGGCTACAATACGACTAGAGTGAAAAGCTTTTCATGAGATGCGCTCTCAATTATGCAGAACATAAAGTTTTAAAAGGCACTGTTTAATTATTTTAAACGTCTTTAGACTTTATTAGCTACAAGCTTATCACGAGGCAGAGTTTGACCAGTGGGGGAAAAAAAACAAAAACAAAAAACAAAAAAAACGCTTTCTTTCAGAGTCAGATGAAAAGATGGATAACATTTCTATGTGATGCTATGTAAATATAAAGTTACATCCAAAAGCTGCTTAATGATAATCTCTATATTGCTTTCTAAGATGTGATATGAAGCTTCCATTTAGGTTGGCATTAAGACTGGAAACAGGTGGTATCAGCTAAGCTTAGCTGCACACTAGTGATAAACATCCCTAAAGCTGTGTTATAGAATTTATCGTGTATGTTTAATCTGTGCACAAATCATAAAAGTGTAAATCTTCTTTTAACAGGAGGGTTTTTTTAATATTTCTTAGCTTAAATAAGATTCATAAAAACATGACAGGTTGTCCGTCTCCTTAAACAACTCTCTGCAAGACTGCAAATTAATGTGTATTTACCAAAGGTCGTAAGAGTCTGGGAAACATAACCTAAAATGAACTTAGAACTTAGTGTTTGATATAATTTTTTAAAAAGTTTATATATAGTATAGAAGAAAAGCAATCGATTAAGCAATAGATTGTGTGGAGAAAATGCCAGATATAGCAACTATAATAAAAATGTAAATAAATAATGCATTTTAATATATTTATTTATTTATTTATTATATTTTTTGATTTGGCTGAAGGTTCAATAATCACGCTTTATAAAAAAATTTACAATTTCATGACAGTTTTTTCATGGTTCATTCTTTAAAGGGTTAAATCTCAGTACTCTTTGTAAAATATTACCAAAACATTTGAGACCAGGTATTTTCTTTTACAAAGACTGTGCTTTTTATCCTTTGAATTGAAATATATTGAAAACAGTCTTGGTCTTTTAGCACTTGCATTTTCACGATTTCCAGTTTTTGTTATTGATGGAGTATTATTGCGAAGGAAAACCTGAAAGCAAATTGAATTTTAAAATGTGTATATTTAAGGGACAGTTGAGCCTAGCCTAAAGTGACATTTGTGAAGCACAAATAGACTGTAGAGAGAAAACATCAAGGGAACCGGAGCAACCACCTGACTCTCTGCTGTGTGTGAAAGCTGCTCAGCATGTGCATGTTTGGTTTCATCCGAGTGTCGATGCTCTGAGGATCAGAGTGAGGAAAGCTCACAAAGTCTCCAACCTGGAACACAGATGGACGTGTTAGACTCAGATACGCTGACCTCTTCAGTCCACATACACACCCACACACACGCACACACACATGCATGTTGACAGGTTCACGGGTGTTTCCTTGCATAAATATACCAATACCCACCCCTCAGAGCAAACGCACACCTCACATTGTTTATTCATGCCTTGCATTCCTTTCTGTACACACACACATGCACGCACTAAATAAAAACACGTCCTTACACACATTCAGCCCCTCTCGTCTCTCTTCTGTCAGCCTTGTCGATGCATGCGTTCCTGTCAGCATGATTCTCCGGCACAGCGATGCCTCTCATAACACCTTCCACCGTGATGCTACATAACACAAGCACCCGGCCCTGGCGACAGCATTGCCGTGCCAACGCCACCTTGAGATGCGAGACATTTCTCATCTTGCACGCCGATGTTAAAGTGTCACAGAAAAGTTAAAACACCTCAGAGAGAACTGAGGTGCTTGGATTTTCTTGCTGGAAGCGGATATGCTTCTGGCTGTGGCATGGTGAATAATGAATCTTCCAATGCCCTGCACAGGCGCAAGTGAAATCAACTAAATGTTTATTATATTAGATTTTAGTTATTAGGTTTTCTTTGCTTCTATCTCTTAATAAAACCTCTAAAGTGTCAATAAAACTCAGAGCTGGAAGTTAATTAGAGTTGCTGCACTTGTACTTTGTAAAGCACAGAGTAGAATGCAGGAGATAATGTGTCTGTTTTTATTTGAAATAGAAGTAGAGCAAGCTGTGGTTTTAGTAAAATTATTTAAGTAGTAGCTGACCTTGGGTACATTACAGTCTCTGCTTCCACTCTGCTGTACAGTGAAAAGCACATGCTAACCATTATCATTATTGCTGTTGAAAATGGATGAAGTCATGTGCCGTGAACCTCTACACTCAGTCCATATAAGGAGAAAAAGAGATGATTTGTTGTGGATCCAGACCAGGTTTTCTCACGACATGGAGCCGCAACACTGGATCTATGAAACCATTCTGGCTAAAACATCCATCTGAGATTTATAACCAAACCCTCTCTTTCAAATACTGCGTGTCTTATCAGAGATTCCTCAACATGAAAAACATCAGAAGGATTCGGTTGTGAATTTAACAGTGCAAGTGTTTTAGCATGGATTAACTACACTGTGCAGAGAGAGACTTGCAGATGTTTATACCAAGAGGAAATGTTGCATATGAAAATCAACTTGCTACTTGTCAGTAGCTCAATGCAGACTTTGTTTTTAGAATCACTTCTTCTACTTCACATGCCCCAATGTTCAGCTTCCTCTGTCCATCTCTCTGTGTTCCCAGAATGCTCAACGACTAGGCGGCTCCCAGGTGGCACAGCCACTCACCACACCAGTGGTCTCCGTGGCAACACCCAGTCTCCTAGCGCCCTTCTCCGGCATGCAGACGGCCTACAACACTGGTGAGTTGTGGAAGGCAGCAAAACTTGGAAGTCTTGTAGTGTGATGCCACAAACCACTATGAATATTCACTTTGTTCATTGTGTGAGAGCTTCTGGAGTGATTCTACTTCAAAGGTCTCCATTAATATGGATTAGCGCTGATTAATATTGATGCACCCGAAAGTTGTATGATGTAAAACAATCCCCCTCACCCCTCCTCTCCGTCTCCTCTCTCTGCCTTTCTCCCTCTGCGTCTCCCCCTCCATCCCTTAATCTCAGAGTACCAGCTGACGAGCGCAGATCTCACAGCGCTCCAGACGTTCACGCCACCGGGGCTGGTGCCTGGCAACATGGCTGCTTGGCAACAGCAACAGCAACCAGCAGTCTCTCAGCAGCAACAACAGCAACAGCAGCAACAGCAACTGAGCTTGGCATCACTCAGCAACTTGGTGTAAGCTCCCTTTTCTTACTATAAAACACCGTTAATGAGATGAATCCATTAATCTTACAGCCTTTAACCTTCTCCTTGAAATACCTGAGCAGTAAAACTTTTACAAGAGCCACACATGTCACATGATCCATTACACAAACCATAGCACGTGGTCGTATACAAAGCTGTAACATCACCCAAGCTGCGGTTTATTCATCTTCGTGGTGACCTAGATACTTCCCCCTGCTCAGCTCCACCTCCCACTGCGGTCCCAGTCTTTAGCTTCTGGTTGCAAGGCTTTGCTTCTAGCTGCATTATGTGGCACTCTAGATTTAAAACTTTAAAGGTGGACTCACTCTTGGACGTTCCCATTTTTCAAGTCTTCCTAATTTTCCAGCTAATAGGTTACTCTTAGAACAAAGTTTACCCTGAAGAATTTGAGCTATTTTGTAATTAAGAAATAAATCCCTGCAGCTGGTCTGAGTGCCCTCAGACCTTATATTTTGCTTTGCTGTAAAGCAAAAAAAGCCTGGAATCATCACTAGAATGATGGTCCGTCTTCTTACTTTAGTAGTCCCATTGTTCTTGGTGTCTTGATGGCTATCCGGTGATGGATACTTCTAATGCATCTGTGAAACCACAGACTGCCTTTGAAAAAAACAAAACAAAAATAATGTGTATGTTGGTGCGTATTAACAGACACACTAGGCTCGATTTGCATTGCATGGTTAAATTGTGCTCTAAGGACGTTCTTATCTCCTTCAGATGACCAGATCTATAACGAGTCAGACGAACGTATAAATTCCAAACAAGCGAGGTCATTACAGAGCAGACACACACCATTAGTAGCTGAATCAAGCCATCATATTTTAACTGATTATACAGCACTCAAAAGCTACTTTGTAAACAGTTTTTTTTCGCAGCTCAGTGCAGTACAGGAAGCAGACAACTGATGAAGAAAAACAGCTCCTTAAAAAGTTTCTTAGGTTTAAAACAACTAACTTACTTTTGCAAACACAGCTACAAAGGTGGGTCCGTTCTTTGAGTTCAGTGCTTGTGTTTGGGAGTATGTTTCTTTATTATTGAGACATTCTTTGTAAGTCCTTCTAACCGAGGTTAGCTTTTTGTTTTTTAACCTATCTTCCCTTTGTTGGTGCTTTGCAAGACCATGAAAGCGATTTAAAAAGTGAAATGTCACCATATTATTTTTACACTTGCAGAACTGATGTGACCTTTACCTGAGTCTAATCAACTACATTTCTACTTTACAAATTAAGTTGGTACAACTAAGTCTTTATGTGACCATTCTGGGTTTGCTAGGTTAATGTGTGGGTGGGGGAGCAGCTTGTAACTGCCTCTTGTTTTGTCCTCCCTCCCCCCCTTTTTCTCCACAGCATGTGGGGTGCAGAGAAACAGAATGCGGAGATGGTTAACTGCATCTCCAATTTTGCTGCTAACCTGAGGTGAATGACATGATAGCATCTGGTGCTCTGCCACACTGTTTATCTGTCAAATTATTATACTCCCACAGTGAATTATGAGTCTATAATAACTTGACAGTTTGTGACCAAAATAACCAAAAGAAATACAAAATTGATGCAATTACATGACAAACACAATATCAGCCAGTCTTCTCTTTCCATTTGTATGTTTGATGTGATGCCTGTTGCTTTGCTCTCTCCGTGTATCACCGCTCGTTCACTTCTGCTGAGGCAAAAGCACCTTTTTTTCCCTCTCAGATTATCATTTGACTAGTCTGGTTCTAGGAGTTTTTATGCCACCTAAAGCTTAGATCTGAAGCTCTTTGGAAGTGTCATCAACAAAGAGGAAGAAGCTTCAGTGTGACAGCAGCAGCACCTTGCTATGTTCTTGAATGGAAGTAGTCTCTGGGTGCTGCTTTCAATTCCTAACACAAAACCAGCGCACAGCTCTGCGCCACCAGCATTGTTAGTGCATTAAAATTTTACTTTTCAGCCATTTAGCTGTCACTCTCAGCTGACAGTCAGACAGAAGATTGAACTGCTCAGGTACACGTTGGTCTGAATTTCCTACACTAGTGGGACTAAAAGAATAATTTAGAGCTCGACGGTATAGAATCACTGTCAGATGCAGCTATTTCTTTAAAAAAAAAAAAAAAGACGTGTTTATTTCCAGTTGATATTTAATTCCCTGTAAAGTACTCGTATACACACAGACAAGGGTGTTAAAGTGCTGCTATCCTCTTGTTCAAAATGTATGTATCTCAATTAAACATTGGCTTCGAATCTTGATCACAAAACAGATTCAAAATAAAACAAATAAGAGAAATGTGTTTTTTGTTGGGTTTTTTTTTTTTTTTTTAAAGACACTTAGAATAATTCTAGCTGTCAGGAAAGAGATTGTTATTTGTTCCTCTGTCTGACAAGCTGAAAATCATCCAGGAAAATATGATAATGGGTTGTTTGTTAGTGTATACAACAGCTGTGACTCCAGGGGGTTGAGCATCTTTGAAAAAGCAGCATATAGTTAACAGTCACCACCAGCTCATATGCAGCAGAACTCTTCATATCGCCTTGTAAATGTTAACAAATGGCAGTCCAGATTGTATGAAATCCTTCTGCAAACAAATCAATTGAACCACTTGGAGATCCTGAAAAAGCAGCCAGCAGTGATTTCCTTGAGCGTTGGCTGTAATAATACAACAACTGTTTCTTATACCGACAGCAATATGGAGCATTTTTCATATCAAAAATATTCTTAACATACTAATGATTTTCAGGAATTTTGTAGGAAGATAAAAGCTCAAAGTTCAAGTATGTTCAAGTATTTGCAAAAAGAAAAGAAACCGAAGGAGCAGGAAGTTTTACGTTTGAGCTCATGGAACTGCGGAAAGTTGGCGTTTTTGCTTTGCTCTATTCCTTAATTGTTTGATCGCCATGTTTCATCGCTTTTTGAGCTACTCTAACAAAGGATTTCTTTCATAATAAAATAACCAAGACATTCCTCAAAATACGAAAAAGCAGGATCTCCCATTTTCTGCATAATCATGCCGCCCAGATGCTGACTGTGGCAGAGTTTCAGCAACCTCAGGTGTGACACTGGAATTGACACCAGGCGGATTTACAGTGTTGTGTGTGGGATCAGAATAACAGAATCATTGCCACTGAAAACAAGCAAGCACCACAGAAAATGTGGGATGCTTTCCCAGCTTGCCAAACTGTTCTCTCGGCAAAACGGAAAATCGTGCCTTCCTAAGGACAGCATGAGCAGACGTGGGCTCTTCTGCAGTCCAGACTGCTCTGCTTTGTTTCTGATTTCATCACACCGCAGCCTCACAGCGAGCAAACAAGCTCCTCCAATCAAATGGTGATTGACAGCTTGGCTGCGAGCCTCGCCTTCGCTGTCGGCCACACTTTTCCTCACCACAGGCTTCACAAGGAAATGATTCCTGTCAACTTACTCTCTCCATTTCCCTCGTTTTAATCATCCCTTCTTCCACTAGTTCTGTCATTCTGCTTATTTCCTGCTTTCCTGGTCAGGCTCGGTTAATTTGGTGTACACCTGTTGACTCTCATCTTCGACCTGACTTCCTAATCTAAATGTTAATGTCACGGCTGCCCCTAAATCCCCTCGCTGCGCAGCCTTGCATTCAGCTTGTCTGTGTTTATGGAGAAGTGGTCTCTGCATACTGGTTTTGCAGGACATGTCGCCATGGTTTGTTTCCTCACTGAGTCGATGTGTTATCAGCAGACACAGCCTCCGTTTGGGACATTCACAGGAAACAAACAGACCCACTTTCAGGGGTGGCTGTTTGCTAGTACACAAGTGATGTTTTAATGTACATAGCTACTAATCAATCAGTACGGAGCTTAAAAAAAATTATTGGTTTCTAACTCTTTTTTTTTTTTTTTTTTTTTGTGCCCAGCTTTTCTTTTTCGTTATACTTGTTTCCTATCTCGTAAACACAAACTGAAAAAAAGGAAGAACTTTTGGAGACGGTGCACACTCTGATAAATTGCTGAGAGGACACACTGTTTGTTGGCAGGGCATGGTGCGTACATGCTGTCAGAGGCTGAGCAGTTAAACCTCCTGGTGGGAATCAGTATTTTCTCAAACCCTAGATTAGAAACCACGGGGGATTCATTTTACATCCCTCTACCTGTACAATAAAAATACAATTTTATTTCTATTAAGTGTGTGCCATGTGGGTAATTTGTTTATTTATCCATTACATTTATATAAGATGGTCACATGTTAGATTGTTAAATTGCAGAATTACTTTATGGGGCTCAGAAATCTTTATTTAGCAACAGCAAGCTGATTTTTGGCACCACGTGGACTCAACTTTAATAAGCAGACTTTAATAAACAGACTAATTAGTATGAATTTATTACAATTTCACAACTGACGCAGAGGCAAAAGAAAGTTAAAGAAGAATAGAATTTCAAAAATGACTTTAAGTATAAAGGTCTCTGCAAACTACACAGAAAATTAGTGGTATATTCCTTTAAGGAGAGTTTGTACTACAGATTGCCAATTTGCCTGATCCCATTTTAGGAAACTCAACCATTTCAGTTTTACTGAAAGTGACTGTAAAAGTGCTTTGCATGTGGATCACATTTTCTCAGCACAGGCTTAAGCACTTCTTGCTTTTCATGACTCTGCCTCTAACAACATCCCAGCCTGACCGAAGCAGCTGTTAAGGCCCTTTGTTTTTTGTCGTAAGCGTGTCTGGATTGACCATGACTGGTCTCCGTCCCACTGTCTCCCTGCTGTTTTAGCTTTTTAAAACTTGCTTGTCTCTTTTTCCACCTCCCTCCACAGCTTGGCTTCTCAGCCCAACTTGCTCTTTGGTAGGGAGGAGGGCCTCTGCTGGTATAGTACTCTTTACACTTAAGCCACACAGCTGCAGCATGCCGCTTTCCCAAAATATCTGCTTCACAAAGGAACCTTTTGGTACTTTAACTCCAAAACAGCAGTGGTTAGTAGTAAGAAAGAAACAAAAGTATCATGGCGTCAAGCAGATAATATTTCCTTTGTTTTTAATGTACCACCAAGATGGTTCAACTAAACTAATCTGACAAAGGAACTGCTTGCAATTACTAACTGAGGAGCTAAGATTCAGTAATGGACATCCTCAGCAGAACACCATTTAGAAAGCTGAACTCAAAAGTAATAGTCAAGAAGTCAGCTACGCCAGTACCTGTTTATTCCTTCATTCTGTACTTCAGTTTGTAAAATGTTTCTGTTAAGCCAAAGTTATACTGATAGCATCACTGTTACATCACCAGGGCTAATTTCTCAGTCCTGAAAAAGCTCCTGCTGAGCTGATGAGTAGGCCTACTCGTGATTAGTAAACTGATCTTGATCTGTAACACCCCTTAAAAAAATCTGCAGTATTAATAGACTAGTATTTCATTGATAGTGCACAGGTCAACAGTCTGATTGGAGTTAAAATTCTTGAAAAGACGAACTTTTTTTTTTTCTCTTCCCAATTCTCATCCTGAGAAAAGCAGAGCATTTTGGGAAACACGGCTGCAGCTCAACAAACCGCACTGTAACCAAGTGTCTGCTTCTGGCTGTGCTCACCGTGTTGTTAGTGCTCGGGGGGTAGCCTGCCGCTCTCGCCTTCATCACTGTCACTGGACTGTTGACTCAGCCGTTTTCACTCGCCATAGCAACGGCACCCCTGTGGCACCATCATCCATCTACCTGTACCGTCCCGAGCCACGACACGCAGGTTTGATGAAGTGGGTACGAGAGAGACGGCGTGAGCATCGTCCTACCAAGGGATTTGTGTCGTTGTGTGTGTGTGTAGGTGTGTGTGTAGGTGTGTGTGTAGGTGTGTTTGTAAGACAGTACGGGAGGGAAGGAGCATTTTTATGTAAGGCAGGAAGAGTGCACAACTTTAAGTGTGTGTCAGACAGAGGAAGACAGCGAGCACATTTGAGTGCCACGGACCCAGATCGCCTGGAGGAGTCCTATCTTAAATTCCCCTCTCAGTCTGCCAGTAATTGAGGGAATATTAGAGATACAGTGGTGCAGATGGCTCATGATATGACATATTAGAACACACCCAAGGGGCGAAACGCAGTAATTGGGAGCTTCAAATTCAGATCCACCATGTCAAGCTGGAGGAGAGGGAAAGATAGAACAAGCCCAATCCAAAAAATCATGTCGACGGCGTTAAAAGGAGCGAGCCACAGCGCAGCGTCAACAGTCGGTGTCAGCCACAGTGACAGGTTCGACTCAGCCTCCAGCCAGCGGAGGAGGGTGAGGTGGTGCTGATCAAAGAGTTTTGGCAGGTAGAAGCAGAGATGGTGACAAAGACGAAAGCTTTTTTGGCATATAATTGTCCTGAGGATCTTAGGGCAGCGCAGTCAAGGAGTTAGGTGTGGATTGGTTCATTTGAAAACCTGTGAACATTTCACGCGTGAATCTAAATATTTTCTGTTTATCTGGAAAATACGTTTTATGCTGCTCTAACTTACAAAACACCAAGTGAATACAATTTATCATATATAACAATAGAACATAATTTACACTATGACGCTCTTGGTTGGCGCTACTTGGAGGTTTAAGAGAACTGCTGACAGATTTGTAAACTAATAATAATCAAGTCAAATCAAATGTGACATAATGTTAAAATGTTCCGGGGGAAACGAACAGCACAAGAGAAATTTTGGTTTTAATGCTAAAAAAAATTATGGACAGCATGAAAAAAAGCCATTAAGGAAGGAAGATCACGCTGCTGCTTTAGTTGTCTATTTGAATATAATACCGATGCCGCTCTCATAGCATGGACCATATCGGCCGGGAAAGATGCTCTGTGGCATATGCAGCTAAAAACGAACATGGCAGTGACCTTGCACACGAAAACAGAATAGAAGAGCGGAGGATGCCTAATTTGTGACCTTGTGAAAAAGATGCTCTTTTGAGTACAAGGGAAAGTAAAAGTTAGCTGCTTTCTGAGAAGGAATCAGGGGCGCACCTGGCAGAAAAAATGGACAGATGGAGATAAAAATCCACAAGCACAAAGGGAGATTTGCTCATTAAAGAGCTGTGGAAGTGGCCCAGGCATGGAGGAAAGCAACCTTACCAGATCAAGTATGACAGGATAGTATAACAGTGTAGTGTTTTTAAAAAAAAAAAAAAAAAAAACCAAGACCAGTACCCTGAACCAAAAGCCTTACAGGTTGTGTGTTAATTGTAGTCTTGGTTTGCACTGCTCCTTGGTGTGCCTAAAATTTTCCCATAAGAATAAAATACAAAGTACAGCAAAGACAAAATATAACTTTAAAATATTCCAATATTTTTAGATTTTTACACTGCAACAGATTTTCCCAGTTTTTTTTTAATAAACATAATTTTAGCAAACGACAACTAAAATATATTTGATTTCTGTCGTACTTCTTATCATATTTAAACCCTTCAAAATGTGTGATGTGTCATTCTTTCATTTATTTTAGGAAACATGTTCTTTAGGCCCTTTAATAGCTGTTGTATCACAAACAAAGAGATAAAACAGAGCAAATACAAAATGCAGATGTTCTTGTTTAGCTACTTGCATCCACTGAATGATGACTTGAGTATCTTTTTTGATGCTCCAGTATGATGTTCAGCTGTAGACCTTATGGGATCAAACCTAATATCCGAGTGTTTCAGCTGCATGGCTTACTGAATTTGCTTTAATGTGCCCTTAAATGTAGCCTTATCTGTTCTTTGTGTCTTTGTTCTCCATGTGCTTAAGTCCACACACGCCTTCGTGTTCCGAGTGTATAGTGTTACCTGGGTGCCTTTTGCTTGAAAATCCTGCTTTTCATTTTACAAGTCCAGCATATGTTTACTGAATTCTTTGATCCATTCATTTTAAAGCGACCATTCTTTTACAGTTTTGGCTGAGCTCTGTGTTCCATCCCTGCAAACTTTTGTCTAATGAAGATCTGCTCTCATGTACTTTTGATGGAGAATACGTGTAGTTGTGTAATTTCATACTGACATAATGCTTCTTGTTCTTTTCTTTCTTCTTCTATCCGTCATTTCTCCAGGCAAGTGGGAGTACAGGGTGCCGCGCTGACAGTCAACACAAACCCCAACGTCAATATCAAGTCCGAACCCGTCTCACCAAACCGTGACCGCAGCACTCCCAGCTCCACCAGTGGGGTGGCTGGAGTTGGAGTGGGCCAGAGTCAACTCCAGGGACAAGGTCTGGTGTCCATCGCCTACCCTGGTACTCTGCGTCTTGAAGCGGGAGGCCAAGGCCGCTCACCTGTTGACAGTCTCAGCAGCAACGGCAGCTCATATGAAGGCAGCGACCGAGACGATGGCACCCAGGGTCGAGGTGGGGGTCTGGATTATCACCACCAGGTCGGCGCCGGAGCCCAGCAGCCCACCATGGTCCTTCTGCGGCCCTCATCAGCAGAGCCTCAAGAACAGGATGGGACCAACGTCAAGAGAATGAGACTGGACACCTGGGTCACATAAACGGATCGATGGACAGATGGAGGATGGAGATGTGTACTTGTGGATTGTGTACATGCCCCACCAGCTCCAGCAGCCCCAATATCCACATTGCATACGCACAGACAAAATCCACCCACCACCAACCCAGTAACCTGCTGTCTACACAGTAAACCTCACATGGATACATACACAACACAAGCATGCTAACATACTCGCACATGTGGACACTCACTCGTATGGCAATGTGCAGTCACGTTTGAACTGTAATGTATTCTCACTGACATACACCAAACCCAACAAGACCAGGAATTATTTATCAAAAAAAAAAGACCATGCTGCGCATCATTCAGCTGGATTCGGATAGAAGTGAATGAGTTTGTAATCAGGCTGCAGTGGTTAGGAACTGTGGCCTGATTAAATTTGGCCACATGGACTTCTTGACAGTTTCTGGAAAAGCAGACAAGCCAAACTTGGTTTCCCAGCATGCCCCTGCCATGATTCACGGCTGGTGGCAATCTTTCACCTTCATATCTTTACTGTCTGGTAGGTTTTGATCAAATATGACAGCGCTGTATTAAAACGGTGCCACCAACGAGTCCACATCGATGTACACATCCGCCCATCCACAGTTGTATTGCTATCACTCTAGATTTTTGTTTGTTTTCTAAGAGGAGCAGCTGTGCTCTTTTTTTTTTTTCTTCTTCTTCTTTCTTTTCTTTTTTTTTAAAGCGTGGAGTTTTGTCCCTCTGTCTTGACTGTTGACATTTAGAGTTTGGATTCATTTTGAATATGAAGACACTAAAAGAATAACTTGCCTCCCTTCTCAGTCAAGTCGGCGGCTCCATCAACATGGCCGGCATTGGGTCCTGTACAAGAATGGCGACCACCAGGGGTCTTTATTTAATCAGAACCACGCAGACCAGCTGTAAAACGAGGAACGTGATTTGTTGCCGAGGTAAAAGACTGCTTTTCTTTGAATCAGGGACGAGCTGCCACAGCTCAACGACACATGACGCAGATTCTCCTCGTTTCGCCCACATCGTGTCAACTACAGATGCTGAGAAAGGTGTGTGTTTGGTTTGTTTGTGTGCGTGTGTGTGTATACGGGTTTGTTACCTCAACTGGTTGTTTTTTTTTTTTTTTTTTTTTTTTTTTTTTTTTTTTTAAACCAAGTGAATTTGGATAAATCTTCACTTTCAATTTCATCCTTGAACACACACCTGCAACGCACACAGGTGAAATTATTTTTGTGAGCAATTCATGTTTTGAATAGATAGCTGATGTTCAAAGAGGAGAATCGTGAGGTACCATGTATATAAGCAATCTGTAACCTTTGTGGCTTTTGTGTGACAGGGATAAGGTTTTTTTTTCTTTTGAAGGTTAAAAAAAAAAAATCATATTCAAGTATATATTTAAACAGCTTCAGGCGGTAGCAAGGGCAGCTCTGCATTTGGGGCAAGAGACTAGACCAGACGACAGGGATTGTATATATAAACTATATATTCGGCAGGATATCCCTTAAGGAAGTGGAAAAAAAACAAAAACAAACAAACATTGATTCTCAGTGGATCTGTCTCTTTTATATTATTATTATTTATGTGTGTATATAAAGTGTAATATGTGGACGAGCCCAGAGAGGGTGTTGTAGAGGCAGGAAGGGAAGACGTAGCCGTGGTGACTCGGACTGTTTAGAGTGAGCAATGATTAGGACTCTGTTGCTGATGGAGGGCACTTTACCTTAACTCCCACCTCTGACACGCACGCACAGCGCGCACACACTAGAGTTAGACTGATGTATTTGGCTGGATAACAACCTAAAAATGGCAGGTACATGTAACATATTGCAATTTTTATTTATTTCTCAAAATTCTCTTTTGATGTAGTTTAATTTAAGTAATTTACAAGCTACAGTAAGGGTCTCAGTGTGGTTGCCTAATTGGAGCAATTTAATTAATTAAATTAATAATTCAATAATTGCAAGATTCAATATATTAAGTTAATAGATTGAAGCAGTTTTTTAAATGAGACTTGTTATTCCCATTTCCAGCTCCAGATTTTCAAACTTAAAGTTTATCAGGGTAGCTTTGCATGACTCACGGTTCAAATAAATCCTTGTATATCTTTTTTGCAGACCCTCAGTTTATCAACTCTGTGAAAGCAGCCTCCCCTCTCCCTTTAAGCCAACTACTTTTTCTTTTCTATTTGCCTGCCCCTCACAAGAAAAAGACTTGGAATAGCAGGTAGGTGGCCATGGCCAGTGCTTTGTGTCTCAAATGACTGCTGCAACTGGCTTTGTAAAGAACCAAGAGTAGAAAACAAAAATCGAACATTTAGGGCTGAAAGGATTGGATATGTTTAGTGTGAGCTGCATACGTTGGATAGAAAGCAAGGAAAAGGATCATAAGTCCAATTTAAGGAGTTGTTTACATTTTTTTTCAAACAAAAGAGTTATGTTGTATAAAAATTGGAACAGAAATTTTCTTATAGCTGTGTAGCACTGTCTATGTCAAATTCAGTTACTAATTGTAAATCTTTCAAAGTCACTGCTGATGTAGTTTCATCTTTCAAATGAATCTTTTATGGAAGCATTTATTTGAAACCTGCTAAAAACTAAAGATTAGTAAAAACAAAAAACAAAAAAAATGCCATTCCTATTGTATCATTTAGCTAAATTAAACTTTACTGGAATTTTTCCTCGTGCAGCGACTGCCAAATATTGGGTATTTTGTGCAACTTGATGCAAAAGATTATTATCCGCTACCACCATATCAGTCAAACTCTAGAATAAATACATATAGATAGTTTATGATTAAGCAAGCCAAGGATTTCCCTGATCCCTCTTTTTTTTTCTTCTTCTCCTTTTAGAGGTTTACCTTTTCCTCCAATTAAAAGCCATGTTTCTATATTTAAAGGATCTCTCCTTCGCCTGTCACTGGTTGGCTGCAGTTTTATATTATGGAGAGTTTAAGAAGACTATGAAGGAAAAGAGAAGTGAAGGATGTAATTTTTCTACTCTATAAAGGTGGCAACGGTTGATTTAGGTTTTTCTTTTTCTTTTTAAACGTGGTGGTCAAAAGTGCAAATTCATGTATTTATTTTTCCTAAAAGCACTCTCAGCCTCCGTCCATTTGCTTGTTAAAAGCACTGGCGTTTGGGTGTCGTTCGTCGCTAAGCCGGAGGTTTCAGAATGACTCTTGATCTTTTAATGACTACCTCCCAAATCCAACGCAGACTTGTCGACTTTAGGTTTTACCGCATCCAGCCACCACATCCTTCTCATGGGCAGGCCCTCGTCACCTCTCTCTCACCCCTGTCACTCACTTGTTTTTTTTTTTTTTTCTCCCCTCCTCTCTGGAAGATTAATCTTACACCCAGACAAACAAACACACGCACACATTTCATTACACACTCCTCTTCTGTTTACTCCGTCCAGATAGCGGGTGTCAGCGCTGAAATGACAAGTCAAATTATTTTGGGGTCATTTCCATGAGAAACACAACCACCACCAACCCCCCTCCCAACTCTATTCGACTTGCAGCTTCATCTCACACACTACTGCCATCATCCGCCCTTCAGTTCATCAGTGATTTCTCATTTCCTTTTTCTCCGTCTGTCACTCACTCCCCCCCCCCCCCACACACACACACACACACGCGCACACACACACACACACACACACATTCATCCTCTGTGACAAGTCTGAGTGTCAATATTGCTTTCCTGAGTGCTTGGCAGAGTTAACATAAATCCCCAGAGTGTAAACACTTTGACTGTTAAGACTGTTGTGCCCTGAGCTTCGAACAAAAAAAAAAAGAGAAACAAAAAAAGTCTGCAAGTTGTTATGTTTCGTCCAAGAAATGAGATTGTTTGTGAGCAGGCAGGTGAGAGCCCTCGTGAAGCCCTAACATGTTCTTTAGAACAACACTAGGGGTCGCTGTAATCACACAACAGACAATCGTGCTGAGAAGGCGTTCTAAGAACTTGCATCCCCCCCCTGAAAGAGAGATATATGCTCCTGTACAATGATGTTTAGAAGTCTCACTCACTTTCCAGTGTTAATTTGTGCTGGTGACAGTCTGTTTTTAATTGTTCTCTGACAATTGATATTATTGTTATTATTATTCTTATCATCATTACCACAGCCACACTGATAGTAGCTGTCATGATGATATAGGTTTCTGCATTTTCTTTTTTTCTTTTTTTTTGTTGTTGTTTTTGTTTTTTGTTTTTTTTGTGTAGGTTAGACCTCTTGTTTTCTTTGGAATTTTATTTTATTATATAAGAATATTCTATAAATATATTTTTGTTTTCATTTTTTGGGATTTTTCTTTCTTCTTCAACAAGGGTGTTACTAATGTTGCACGATTTTTATGACATGTAACAAGCAACACACGAGTAGTGATATTAGTTTCCACGTGTGGCTGTGGATGGAATCGCTGATTGAGTCGACAAATCGCTTCAATGCTGCAAAACTTTGAGTCCAATGTACAAACCTCTGAGTCTAAAGGGGGTGGGGCAGCGTGACACGTCTAACTTATTTCTGACCAGACACAATTATGTCAATGCATGGGCGTTTCAAAACAACAGAAGTGTGAATCATGTTATAGGAAATAAAATGTAATATTGACACAAAAACACATCACACAGGATTACATAAAAAAAAAAAAAGTGAAATCAAAGAAAAAAAAAGTTTAAATAAATTATAGCTAATATATTGTGTTCGGCTAGTCTGCTTTTTTGTTGTAAAGATAATTTTGTTTTTGTTTTTGGAGAATGATATACAATTTGTGTATATTTTCATAAATAAAGTATGCACTGATATGTTATTACAAATTCTATACTGCTTTTACAAAAAAAAGTGTTTGTTATTGTACCAAAGTATCCATTGGTCCCCTCTTACCCTCCCCTTTTTGCGTATGTTTTACCGTATTTTATATATTAAATAGACAAGTTGACCTACAGAAAAAAGTTTGAGTTTGTGTAACTTATTTGGACTCCTTTTTTTTAGTCTGATTTGATGCATCATGGTGTTGCCACCACTAGAGGGCACCAGAGTGTTTGGTATTAGTGTTTGTCTCCAGTTTTCAGAGGCTTAAAAGTAACAGGACAGACCAATATGATTTTAAATATATGGAGTGATTTTAACACTTGGATGAAACTTCTTTGTTATCAGTGACTGATTAAGTGTAGATGTCTGCATAACAATGGCTGTAATACCTAAACAGTTAATGCAACAGTTTTGTTAAAACCTGTTAAATTAAAGCTACAAGTCTGTGTTTCAGACACATCTTAAGTTCTCATTTTAAAAACAACGTGACAGTATACAGAGTGCGTGTCATTCTCAAAATACTTATGGACTTACAGTACTGTACAAAAGTTAGAAAAAATACAAGAATATTTGAGTCCGGGGAAGCTAAATATAGAGAAATGAGGGGTGGCCTGAGAGTTTTGCAAAGTACTGTAACTGCCACTAAGTGCAGAGCAATAAAATGTGATGTGTGACTGCTCCGCAAAGGAAAAATATTCACAGCTTTTGTGGGGTTTTTCCACATTTGAACCCAATGATAAAGGACAGATAAAGCTAAATGTTTCAGAAAGTTTCTTTTATTTATATTGAGCCATCTGAGACTAATCGCATATATACATGAATAGAAAACTGAACTTACACAGTGGTTGCCTCACTGCAAGAATCTGCTGGGTTCAAATACACCAGCCAGCTGGGGCCTTCCTGTGCATGTTCTCCCCAGATCTGCATGGCTTCTCTCGGGTTACTCTGTCTTCCTCCCAGAGTCCAAAGACATCCATGTTAAGTTAATTAGTGATTTTAAATAGGCTGTAGGTGTGAATGAGAGCCTCAATGGTTGACTGTCTCTCTGTGTTAACCCTGTGATAGACTGATGATCTGTCAGAGCTGTACCCCACCTCTTGCCCTATGACAGCTGGGACAGGCCCTAGCTCAGCCACAATCCTGAATTAGATAAGCGGAAGAAGATGGATGGATGGTGCTTAAGAACAATTTGGCAGGGTGGTTTCCTGCTCCCTGTTGATTCCAGTCTAGTGTTTAAAGTGAAGTCATCTGTTTCCAAGAAAAGTGGCACAATACACTAAACACTGAG